CAGTGCTTTATTGGTTAACTGGAGTCGATGATGATGATGATGATGATGATGATGATGAGCTGCTCTCATCTGTCAGAGCGTCATAATTACTGCGATGAAGATTCAATTCTCCCTCTACTCTCTTATATCCATCCAAATAATTTTTATCATCATTTCTGCTCCCAACAGAAGAGCAGTTTTTTTCCAACAATTACAATTCTTTGTAGCTTTTTCCTTTCTTATCATTCTGATCTTTGACCGTCCTCCATGTCTCTGTCTTTGTTCTTTACTTCTTGATCCAACGTTGTGATAAAATACTTCTTGTCATTCTGTCTCACAAACTAAAAACATCAAACACATTATTAAAACTTTTTCTTGTGTTCAGAGATAGTTACTGCAGGCTTAATTAGCTGTTAATTGTATGAAGTGAGTCTGTGAGTTTGTAGAATCTTATTCTGACTGTCAACAGGAGCGAAATGCAAGAAGACTTTAGTTCTTTAGGGAGAAATAACAATAAAAATTATACTCCCAGAAATAAAAGGATACAAAGTAGAGATAAGGTAGAAAACATTTAGAAGAAAAGATGACATTAGCAAATGTAACTTATGAAAGGTTTAGTAGAAACATTACAGATTTGTTTTAGTTTTTTCTTTTCTTTTCTGGATTAAAAAACAACAACCCAACACTGGGTCCAATTTGTTAAAGAAAATAAAAATAAACTGTAAAGGTAGAACCATCTCAGTTTAGAGTTCTTTTATAAGCATAAACTTAAGGATGATGTTTTCCTGATGTAAAACTCATATGAACCAGCAGGGGGCGCTGAAGGCGTCTTGTTTATTTTACTTCACAAATTAATAAAATCGGATTCATGTAATTTAAACATCAGCGTCACTTAAATTGTAAAAAAAGAAAAAAAGTCTCCTAAATATTTAAACTTATTTTTCATGTTACTTTTGCTCCTTCTGTTAAATCTGGTTCCCCAAAAAAATAAAAAGCAACATCTAAAATGTGAATTATATAAACTTTATCTTTTATTTTTGTAAAGATAAGTACCGAAACAATCTGAACATGTTTTGATAGTTCAGCCATGACAGAAGCAGAGAAACATATCAAAACGAAAACTTCTGGGTCTTAAAATGATCCAACTGAGAGAAGTTCAAAGTCCTCGAGACTTTTTCTGTTTAACGCAGAATAATTTATCACACATTTTTCATCTAAGTCAGAGAATTTTTAAAAACCCCTAAAGAGGAACCTTTTGTGGCATTTTGTAGAACACTTTGTAAGAAATGATATCCACTGTGAGTCAGGCCCCTGAAGCCCAAGCACAGCAGCAGATAAATATTTCATGTTGGCAGACATTTAAGGGACTGAGCCTTGTGCAGATGGAGATCAGCAGCTGCAGAACGCACACGTTACCTCCTTCATTGTTAAAATGCACGTTGGTTTCTGCTTATATGGTAACATTTGTCAAAGGCTCTGTGTGCAGACACTGGATAAGCTCAAAATAATCTATTTTACACACACACACACACACACACACACACACACACACACACACNCACACACACACACACACACACACACACACACACACACACACACACACACACACACACACACACTTTTTTACTTGAACAAGCTGCTGTTCTGGAAAACATCACACTCATCTCTCATCTTTCTGTTTTCATTTACTGCTGTTATCTTACCTCCTCTCCTTTCCTTGCTTTCTATCCTTGCTCCTTCCTTAAACTTTCCTTTCCTTGTTTCCTCCTCTTTCCACATAGATCGCCCTCCCGGCCTCCTTTCCATTTACCTCGCCGTGATGATCCTGTAATTGAATTAGGTGTCCCATGGATACAGACTCCCACAGAACGGGCAGAACAAAAAGCCGAGCGGAGCCCAGACCTCGGCGGAGGCAACGACCGAGGCTCCAGGTGTCTGCGCTGGTGATGGATTAAATCTGTTACCATGCACGTAGGAACCGACATGCACACAAACGAGCTCACGTTTCCACAAACACACTTTGGTTTTGGTGCATTTAGGAGCAGATAAGATTAGAGATTAGAGCGTGCAGTCACCTCAGGACAGTAAGGGTTGGTTTCTGTGCCCTGATGGGAGCTCTGATGCTGTAGATCAGAACATTTAAAACTGAAACCTAAATTATTCAGGTTTTTAATGGGCTTAAGTCATCAGGCACAAAACACTGCTAGCATGCGGGTAAACGTTTACAAGATTAACCATTTATAGATCTCAATCCATTTATAGTTCTTAATCCCATATTATACCACTCACTGGATATTTTCTCTTTTCGGACCGTTTTCTGCAAACCCAAAATGTTGTGATTAGCAGTTTGAGCAACGACAACAACGACAACAGCAACAACACATTCAAACTTACTTAAAATCTATTTTCTTCTCCAATCTGATGCCTGGATTGAAATTCAACAAATTTTCACCACGTCTACATCCCTAAAGGCACTGATCTGATGCTGTGTGATCGGCTGATTAGCTATGTATGCTAACAAGCTATCTAACAAATTGACCTGTTGAAGTAGGCAGCAGGGGGGTCAGCCTTGCTGCGAAGCAGGAGGAAAGGAGAGCAGAAAATTTTCAAAAGTTGTTTCTACCAGCAGAACAGGTTGGAAGATGGCTAGTTAATGTTATTTGTTGTTTTTTTAATGTAACATGTTAGATAAATTTGAAAATGAGGTTTTTAAAATATCCATAAGACTTGAAAAAATCTGTGAGATTGCCCTATACGTCCGTGCACCTGCAAAATGACGTAAAATCCTTATAACTTACGGACAATCCATTCAAATTGACTTGTATGTTGTTATTTATTTGCTTTCTGGGAAAGCAAATAAATCTAAGCTTACCATAGTACCTTACACTGTCAAACTTGTTTTTAG